TCTGTCTGTCTGTCTGTCTGTCTGTCTGTCTGTCTGTCTGTCTGTCTATCTATCTATCTATCTATCTATCTATCTATCTATCTATCTATCTATCTATCTTATATATGTATGCATACATACATACATACATACATACATACATACACACATACATACATGTATGTATGTACATACATGTATGTATGTGTGTGGGGGGGTGGGGGGGATGATCCAACAACCCAAATCATTTCAGGAAACTGTTTTCTGGTTTTTATATTGCTTAAAAGTGTCGTTTTCCCAAATGATTGGGGTAGCCGAAAATTATTTTATGATTGCCAAGGCCACCGTTGGCCACCCCCTGGCTCCTCTATTAAACCTGTTGGTGGATAACATCACCTCCTCCACTCACCAGGATCTGTCACTCTGCACTGCCTCAAGCAACAAAAAAACTATACCTTTTGTTTCTCTACACAGTGTAACTCCTACTCATCTTGCACCAACAACATAAGGTTCCTTGCATTCCCTGTTCAATTCCAGTCCAGAAAAACACTTATTTCCAAAACTACAAACATTCACTTTTCAAAAACCTCAGCGACGGGGGAGATCGGTGTATGGCTTTTTCTCTTTATTTGAAACCAGATTTAAATAAGTAAACCACAGGTTCATCGCTTTTTTCATGTGTCAGTAAAAGCTGCTGGACTCTTACTTGGGCAACATCTGAGCCACCAACCGGTCCGTTTTCTGTCTCTCCACCTCGAGCTCCTCCGTCCTCTCTCTGATCAGATCCTCCAGGTTGGAGGAGTACTGCTCCAACATCTTCAGCATGGAGTCAATGAGGTTGATCTTCTTTCCCTTTGTGACGCTCTTGAACTGTTATATGAAACAGAGCAATTAGTAAAGGTAATTTCACAATAAGATTAGGAACACGTGTCCTACCTGTTTGAAAATGTCCTCAAAGGTTGGCCTCTTATCTGGCTCTTCACTCCAGGCCTGTTTCATTAGCTGGATCACATCTACAGGCGCCTCTTCCACTGACATAATAGGCCGACACAGAGGAGGAGGCTTTCTCACCTTGTTGACAATCTCTGTCAACATACGCAGAAAGAAAACAGGGAACACAGAAATGAAAAAACAAAAAGGGGAGTTTTTTCAGCTACTTTGTCCAGGTAACTGTGAATGTAGCTATTTCTAGCTGCGTGTTTAGGCACCCACCTTTTGGAGGCATGTCCAGCATGCAGAAAGGTGTCGAGCGAGAGATGACCTCCTGCACAACGATGGAGAAACTGTAGACATCCCCAAAGAAAGTTCCTCTCCTCCTCATACTCGAGCTCCTCAGCAGCTCGGGAGCCGTCCAGAGAAGGTCTATGTAGCAAAATAGTTGCACAAATGTGTATTTGACTATTTGACATACACAAGAAAACTCAGAAAAACGATAAAGATGCACGTGTTCTCACCCTCAGGCTTTTCCCCATCGATGTCAATGCCTTGTGCAATCAAAATTTCATTAAAGCCGTAATCCGTCACTTTCAGCACGAAGCGCCCGTCGACCATACAGTTACGGGATTTTAGACGTCCGTGAATGATGTCACGATGATGCAAATACTTCATTCCCTGGTGACAAAAAGCAAGTAAAGAGAAAATAAAATAATATGTAAAATGAAGCTTGTAAAATTATTTATTTTAAATCTCTCACCCTGATCAGATCCATTAATAAGGAAGACTTGAACATCCAGTCGAGACGCACTTCTTCGTTGGCCAACAAATCCTCCAAGCTGCCCCTGGTACAGTGCTCCGTCACAATGCCAAAGACCCCGGAGTCGAAGAACAGTCCCAGAAATAGATTTAGGTTTTCATGCCTCATTTCTCTGAGCTGAAAGGAACACAAGGATCACAACTGATTGCATAACTGAAATCAGGCATTTGTTTGCTTTCTTATAGGAATGTCCATATTTATTTGGATTCAGTTGTCTGAATGACTTTGGCAGGAACAAAGAAAAACTCCTAATTTTAAACTTCATTTACCTTCACAAAGACCACCTCAGTGCTGCCATTGACACTTGAGACTGTTCCTGATGGACATTTCTTCAGCCAAACCCAATCACCCTGGAATAAAGAAAATCCCAACACAATCTTTGTTAAACCTCAAAGCTCTAAAACTACTTCAAATCAGGAATCACTATTTTTTATATATCTTTACCCACCTCAAACACAGCAATATTGGAGTTGTCAGGAGTAGAGGCCAAGTAGCTGCGACCAGACACTGAATGGTGAGGTGTCTTCATGTCCCCCTGACTTTTCATGATGGTTTCGTCATTTAGCTTCTGCTTAAAGTCAAAGGCGAAAAGAAACAGAGCAGTTCTGAGCAATAATTGCAAAACATTAACGGCCGTCAGAATCGATTTAGTACAAAACTGACCCGTTTGCTGATTTGAGTATTGATGAAGACCAGATCATCCAGAGTCAGCACAACCTTTGATGGTCCACTGTTTCCATCCTCCTCAATGCTAAGCCCATCTCTTTCTTTTCTTCAGAGCAGAAAGACAATTAAATTAATTATGACAAAAACTGAAAAAAAAAAAAATTCCCCAGTTGTGCGCTACATACTTCAAACGAAGAAAGGTGTTCACTGCGAATCCAACCATTGAAACAGACAGCAGGAACAGAAAGAAGATTGTGATTGGATCCGTGCCTTTGGAAGTAAAAAGATTAGAAGGTTGAGTCCACCAAGTTGTCCACAGTGGACATATTCATGCACTGAACACACTCACCTCCAGTACAGGTAAAGTATGGGCTAAACCAGCAGCTTGAATCTTTGTAAGGTGTGCTGCCTGCAAAATGGATTGAACGTCCAAGATGTTTCAACCCTCCAGTAAAGCCATCTGTGTGAGCAGCATGAAGAGAATGTGTGGAATAGAGCAAGTCCCCCATGCCATCATAGTCCAGGACCACGTAACCAGCCTGCATTCCCTCACCATTCCTTCCAGCCTGCAAGGGCTGATTGAAACCTTCAAACTCAAAGCCGCCCTCACTGTCTCCCAGGATGTGACCTGTTACCCAGCGGCCTTCATGTGTTCGGGCTTGCTCTGCAGCCATTGCTATGTAGTACATCATGTTGTAAATAGTGCCAAAGAATGGAGAAACCTAAGAACAATAAGGTAACATGTGAACAAATGTCCAATGTTTGCATCTCTGCTTTAAGATTTTTCTAATTATTTATGTAATTTCCATTTGACTAAAAGGCTCACTAAAAAGTTTTACCTGCTCTGGTGGAGTGCTGCTGCGTATCTCAAAGCGGTTCTGAGCGTCTCTGAAGGCCTCATAGAAATTGCGCTCTCCAGACTCCATAGTGATGGTGAGAACACCATCGTAGGCTTTTTGTAGCTTGGTATCATTCCCAAGCAGGGAGTAGTGAGCGTCTTTGTAGGGTAGTGAGTACAGAAGGGTGTCATAAGGAATAAACACATAACCACGGTCGATCATGCGCAAAGCTAAGGCCGTTGTCAGGAGCTTGTACTGGGCTTGGCCACCAATGAGGACAGAAGGCATGCACATGATGATCACTGCAAAGAAATCATGGTTTGAAAAACATTACATCTACATAATTCATGTGACAAAAAAATAGGTTTGATTTCTAAAACGCTGTGTCTTACCTTTGACTCGGTCTGCTTCTCGTACTTTAGTCAAAGCTCTCCGAGGCCCTTCCTTATCGGTCTCCATTGTAACTACAGGATTCACAGGCAAGCCAAGGACCCTCAGAGAAGAGGCCAACTCCTGCCCTGTGGCCTCCCACACATCTGTTTCCTCTGATATGATAGCCACATGGGCCCACTGAAAAAATCTTAGCACGGTGAAAAGTACATGGGAGGACAGTGGCAGCGGCCGCAGAAACGTAGGGTACATGCCTCCTGTTTTCATGTTGGGCTTGAGACAACCCCAGGAAAGAATACCAACATCCCACTCTTTAGCGTATAATGCAGCTGAGGAGCAGTAACCTGGGTTGGCAGGGCCCAAAAAAGCAGCACCGTAACTTTCCAGGTCAGCAAAGCGAACAAGTGCACTTGTAGCCTTGCAGTCCTCGTTGATCAGTGTGTAGTCGAACCAATAGCCTTTGTTGAGGTAGGGGTTCTTGTTTATGCGGCTGGTGGCAAGGCGGGCCGCCAAGTCAGGGAGAGCCTTTGCGTATAAGAGGTCACATGTCCAGGGTCCAACCAGGGCGACCTTGAAAGTGGTTGCCCAGATTTGACAGGGGAAAAATGAGATCATGAGACATAAAAGAAGAAACCAGTTTCCCCTCCATCTCCTGGTGTGCTGCATGGGGGATGATGGCAACTGTGGTTTTGTTGACAACGATAGTGATGTTGATAACAGTTCAAGCCGACTACTTCCATTAAAACTATTTGTAACCACTGTCCATATATGTCTTTTTCTTATCACTTTAACTGAGTGGTGCCGCCATCGTGGGTGGTAAGCGAGATTGTGGAGACAGCAAGGGTCTCTCTGAATTTCCATTTCTTCACAAATCTCTTCTGACGCCTCGGACAGCAGAAACCAGGGACTGAGGGTTTATACTGGTCAGTGTGAGAGCGTCTGTGGCACTGGGGTGCCTCCCGTAGCACTCTGCAGACCTCTAGTCCAATGGTGGACAGGTGACAAATGGACCCCGAGCCATCACTGCCTCCAGAAAACAAGAATGGAAAAGGTTTGAACACTGTTAACATAATATTAAAAATCTTTACTGTTACAATTAGACTGGTGCAAACTTCATAAAATAGACTCAATTGCCTGGCTCTAAATTACATAGTGCTGGGCCTTTTTCTTTACCACACAGTGGTTTGAATCTTATCAGTGTCCATCTGTTCTCATTGCTGAGGACATTGTGCCTGTGCTGTCCCTTGGAGAATTAATAGCTTGTCTGTAACAAGCTCATTAGCTCTGTCAGAGTCAAAGAGTTTAAAGCAAAAGCCAGGGAACCAGTAGCTAAATCTGGCTCCTAGATTTCTTTTCTCTGTATGGTCTTTCATTTTTGCCTTCAACATCTGTTATCTTCAACTTCAACCGAGTCATACTTGTTGCACTTAAGTTTAAGAAGCCCCCAAATCATTCTATTTTGTGTTTTTTGCTTTACTTCATTCACACGTTCCTTGTTGACTGTGGTAAATTTAAAACAAATGTTGAGATTTGACGACCATCCATCCATCCATCCATCCATTATCTTTACCCGCTTATTCCATTTTGGGTCACGGGGGTCGCTGGTGCCCATGTCCAGCAATCACTGTGCGAGGGGCGGGGTACACCCTGGACAGGTCGCAAGTCCATCACAGGGACACAGAAACAAACGAGACAAACAACCATTCACTCTCTCACTCACACCTAGGGACAATTTAGAGTTACCAATTAGCCTAACATGCATGTTTTTGGTCTGTGGGAGGAAACCGGAGTACCCGGAGAAAACCCACGCATGCACGGAGAGAACATGCATACTCCACCCAGAAAGGCCCCTGGACCGGGGTTTGAACCAAGGACCTGCTCGCTGAGAGGCAGCAGCTCTTTGCGCCACCGTGCTGCCCACGACCATCATCTATATTTTTCAAAACCCATTTTAAGCAGTTTGAGAAGAAACTTTAGCTTAACTGAAACATATTGTTTAACACAAGCCTGGAAAAGAAGTAATGTTTGTCAAACAAATGTGATTCAAAAATACATTAAAAAAAATCTTTGTTTCTATTTAAAACTAGTTTCGTTCAAATATTGCAGTATTTTGAACAAGTGAACATCATAGCATATTAAATAAAAAGTACTTTCTTTACTTGAATGTAATAGCAACCAATATCGGTATTGGGCTTGATAGCCTCATTTACCGGTACTCATACTTGTACTCAAATACCCTGATACTTCTAAATGATACTACTTTCATGCTTGGTGACCTCCTCCACTTTGCTAGTAATCAAGGACAAAAACTTAAAAATGCTTGTAGTTTGGAGATATTTTAAAATAAACAGGTGATGGTAAACAGCAGACTGTTAACAAAAGAAATGTGTTTCTAAGGTCACTGTGTATGTTTAAGTATGAACTCATTGACCCCTCATTATCTGTACTCAATTACCCATACCGGTACTTGTACTTGTACTCGTACTCGTACTCGTACTCGATTATAAAACAATTGGTATTGGGACACTCCTAATAGCAACCAACAGGTCCACTAAATTGATTGTCATCGTCTTATCAGTTACCACCAATTATCCTGTTCCTGTGTGCTACTGAATATTAAAAAGTCATTATGCTTATTATTATTACCGTAAGCTGTTTTTAAGTGTTACGAATACTAGAAACTATTTTACAAACTGTAACATAAATATAAGAGATTATATGATATTATATATGTTCCCACAAACAGCTGTGCCACTTATAGATCTCAATAAACCTACAGAGAGAAATGAATTGATTGTACCATAGCAATAGAAGATACATTTTGATATAATTGAAATTTTACCTGGAGCATTTTTCTACACAGGAGACATGCCAAGCTTGGAGCCATTAGGTAACACCATGTACATCTCAAGTGGTTTGAGTATTCAGCATCCAACAGTCATCTTTGTTCTTTCATTGTGGAGAATATCAGAGGTAGTCCAAATTACATGTATAGTAAAAAAAGTGATAAAAATGTGCTGTTATCTCATCTTCTGTTCCAGTGCCTGTAAAAATATAGTGTAAAAAAATAGGTTCACATTTCCAGTGGGTTAATCTTCTCGCTTCGCTTTGTCCTGTCCGTCCCTGTTTTGGACTGGGACCCACCCCAAACCACAGGTAGAGAGACCACAGGTGGAGAGAAGCTGGGACCCTGTTGCAGGGTTGGGATTGGTAAAAATAGATTGGCCAGGTAGACTGAGATCTGGAGAGTGGGAATAGGTAAAAGAAAAGTAAAAAAAAAAGTGGGAAGGACTGACTAGCTTTGGCTTCTTAACCTTCTTTAGCTTTTAATCCATACTAGTATGGGAAGTGTGTGTGTGGTGGGGAGAGGGGGAAGGGTAGAGGGGAGGAAGGTGAAAGTAGAAGCACACTCACTGTTTGTACAGTGCTCACGTGCTGTACGAGCTGATTTGGCCCAGCGATGACTGCATAGTGACGGATACTTAAAATAACCACAATTTAGAAACAAACCAGTAGGTGAGCATGCATCAGGAAACCAGTAGGTTATAATTTGATCAAAACTGGAGAGGAAAGAAAGGAGAACCACAGTTTAGGTACCAGGTACTATGTATTTAAAAAGATCCTTAGATGATTTATTGACATCACATGACAATATATTTATGAAGCTTTTATAAATGTTAGAATATGTCTCCTGTTTAAAATATAAATCAGAAAGACAAGTGCACTGTTTTCCACTGCTTTCCTTGTTTTTTCACACATTAAACTTTTATTCCTTGAAGGAATGCGTTCTTCCTTTGAACAGCTCAGAATACACGACGGGGATGACTTTCAGCTACTACCACACCAGGTTTTAGCTCAGTGTCTGCACAGTGGGCATACCTATTTTCATGTTTGCTAAAGTTGATTAGCTGTGACAGCCATCTTAGATCAGGTTGATTTTAAACACTGATCAACTTTGGATGAACGTTAATGAGAAATTTTGCTAACAGACGAACAGGGTTGACTCCAGTTAGTGCCAAAGTTTCAAACAAAGATCTTGTGTGATCAATTAGAGCTCAGAGTATGTGTTGGGGATGATTCTCAGCTACTACCACACCAGATTTTAGCTCCATTTATGTAGAAGTGAATGAGTTAAAACCATTTTTGTAAACCTCAATTAGATGCAGCAGTTAGATGACTGCCTGCCTGTCATGTCGGTGGACAATAATTAAAGAAATTTGCTTGTAGCTCTGCACATTTTCAGTTCATAGTAGTTCAAATTAAATTCAATTCATTCCATTATCCTTTACCCGCTTCTTCCTTTTCCGGTCGTGGGGGCCACTGGTGCCCATGTCCAGCCATCACTGTGCGAGGGGCGAGGCACACCCTGGACAGGTCTCCAGTCCATCACATAGAGACAAACAACCATTCATTCCCTCACACACCTAGGGACAATTTAGAGTTACCATTCAGCCGAACATTAATGTTTTTGGTCTGTGAGAGGAAACTGGAGAAAACCCATGCATGCACGGAGAGAACATACAAAAATCCACCCAGAATGGTCCCCAGCCGAGATTTGACCTTCTCGCTGGTAGGCGGCAGTTTTGCTAACTGCACCACGGTGCTGCTCCAACAACACTCAATTTAATATATTTCACATGATGCTAAACGAGCTGAAGATGCAGATTAGACTGAAAGCTTTCAGCCAACGAATTGATCGCTGAAATTTGGAAAAACAACTGTGTTTGACTGATGAATTATGTGAAACCAGACTTGGTATTATCAGTTTTTCCACACCTCATTTAAGGCTTCACACTTCTGCAAATCCAAAAAAAGAGTGAAGCCCACTGTCCAGAGTTCAGCATGAGCACCTTACATGCAGGAGATGTATGTAAGCTGGAGCACAGGGCTGAAAATATCCTCTGCAGTATCTGTCATAAGCTACAGGAAGTTAATCTTTTGACCTGGCAGCTGGAATGAAAGCCTTTAGAAACCAAGAATCTCCACTTTAAAGACAAAAAAGGTTTAAACAAAGATGCTCATTTGCACGTTTTGCTTTCTCTGGGGTCTGCTGAATACACCAGGGGTCGAATTGTTCTCGTTTTGTACAGTGGTAGAAGACTTGTTGGAGTAATCAGATTAGTCAGACGAGGCCTCGCTAAACTGATCTGCTGCACGCAAGCCTCTTAGTGACATGGCAGACAGGGCTGGAAGAGATCCCTTCAAAGCAAGGTCAGATGCAGTCAGTTCAGCTGACAGAAGATGTGGCAGACACAGCAATACAGAAAACTGACCGACAGACTGAGTGTTAGATTTATGTTACACCTCCGTAACAGCTGTATATTACTGACAGCGTGATGGGGAAGGATTTGCAAAAGTAGCAACACAAGTATCTCCAATAAAAATAGCTGTGAAAGACAATACTGAGAAATCTTTCTGTGGGCGGAGCTTTAACGTGACCCACCTGAATTTATCAGGTGCATCAATTTGGCAGCTTCTCTCTCTCCGTGACGCCTCTCGCTCCTGCCAGGATCACAAGACTCAGGATGAGTAATCCTGAACAAAGTATCAGGAGATGTTTCGTCACCGCACACACAATGTTCAGCGACTCTGGAAATCAGGGAAAAACCTGGAAAATGACTGTCACATTTTCCAGGCAGGGAAAACTCAGAGAATTTTAAGAAAAAAAATATGAAAAATCAGGGAATCTGGACTGATCTGCTGATTAAAAAAGGATCTTTCCAAGATTTTGATGTGTTCATGTACTAATGCGTCTGTTCCAGAATCACTGAGTCCATCTTCTGCTTCTACACTGTTCATATGTATCCTGACTGGCTGTGGTGCCTTTGAACAATATTCAAGGATTCAAGGTACTTTTTTGTCATTTGCATCGCATGTGATACATGAGGTGGAACGAAACTGTGTACACTGGGTCCCAGTTACATCCAACAACAGGAAGAATATAAATTGTAAAAGAAACAGTAAT